TAAAGAATCAAAGAATCTTAAAGAAATTTAAAAAATCTTATAGTATCTTAAAGAATCTTAAAGAATTTTAAAGACTTTTAAAGCATCTTAAAGAATCTTAAAGTATTTTAAGGAATCTTGGGGAATTTTGATGAAACTTCTAGAAGTCAAAATGTATGAAAAGTTCTTCCAATCGATCGAAGACGATGGATTTTAGAGTCAAAAACTTTATCTCAACCCACATCCTCTTCGTCAGCTAGCAATTCCTTTCATTTTTTAGATCAAACCAAACATTGCAAATCATTCGGGTTTGAGATTGACTATCTTTCAAGGGGATTTAAACTTTCCACTGTGTATACGTTCCGTCCTTGTTCAGAGTGCGGAGGAGCACCAGGCACCCAGCAGTGGTAACCAAGAAGCTCATCTCCGTCGTCACGATTGAGAACATAATGAGAAACTCCATCCGGGCAGCTACTCTCCAGTCGGTAGTCCTTACACCGACCCAGATAACTCCTTTTTGGCGAGTCCAAGATAGTCCCCAGAGCGTGGAAAGCGTGATTTCAGGAGAGATGTGTGAGTAGTAAACATATCTGCCTCAGTGTACTCACTTTTTCCCCCGGATCTTTCAAAAGGATCTTACGAAGTGTTTGAACTTCAGGAAGACCCTCTTTGCTAGCACATAAGGTCCTCCATGATCCTCGGTTAGACCTTAAAATATGGTCCTTATACCAGCGCTGAACGATCTTGAGATCTTCCCAGTCCGCAGGCAGCTTAGTTCACAAGTGCCTGCTCGTCTCCCTATTAACTTTTTTCAAGGTCCGAGTTCCACCAAGGTACGGAACACTTCCCAGTATTCGCATATCTTCTGAAGGTTGTAGGGCAATCAAGATTGATTTGGACCCCACGGTTTTACGTTCTTCCCTAAGAGGTTGAGTCTTAGGACTTACATCATAATGTTTGGGAGGAGCCTTTATAGCCGCACGTTTTGGGGGAAAATAGACATTTTATGTGTTTAACTCTGTAACAGCCCTTAAAAGTAACTTTGAGAACGTTCATCAATTTTAAAGAGTCAAAGAATCTTGAAGAATTTTAACGAATCTTGTAGAATCTTAAATAATCTTAAAGAATCTTAAAGAATTTTAAAGAATCTTAAAGAATTTTAAAGAATCTTATCGAATCTTGAGGAATTTTAAGGAATCTTGAGGAGTCTTAAGGAGTTTTAAAGAGTCTTAAGGAGCCTAAGGAGCCTTAAGGAGTCTCAAGGAGTCTTAAGGAGTATAGTCTTCCTAGAAGTCAAAATGTATGAAAAGTTCTTCCAGTTCCTTTCATTTTTTAGACCAAACTAATCATTGCAAATCATTCGGGATTGAGGTTGACTATCTTTCAAGGGGATTTACTGGACTGGGCTTAAAATCAGTTTAGTAGTAGTTTAGTCCGGACGGACGGGCGGACGGACAAAACGCAAACATTAGCATTAATTCTTTAAAAAATGTGCTAAAAAGACCGAGGAAGCATTTCGGTAGTTCTTTTTCAGAATAAAAAAATGTTTGTGGATTGATGGATATTAGCACCCTAGACCTAGAAGCCTCATTGGTTTATTGGATATCTTTCTTCATTTGTTCCTGCTATTCCCTTCTTATTTCTATCTAAGTATCCCTAGTTCTGTTGTGGTCTTGTTAAACTTTTTGCTTTCATTTAATTCTTGGCCTTCTTTTTCTTGCACGTGTCCCAGCCATCCTTGTCCCTTTGTTTTTCCGCCAGAGTCACATGTTCTACACCTACATTCTACCCCCCAGTATACAAATGACAATTGGGGAGTATTTCATACCCTTCAGACTCCTTATTGCTTACACCATACTGTTTGGTAAGAGTCTATAGCTACACGTTTCGATGGAGAACGCAGCACCGGGGGCCTGGGGCTATTATAACCCCCCCCCCCTCCCCCGTATACAGAAGAATATTCTGAAGTATGTAGGAGAATGAAGATTGATTTGGTACTTTTCTCGGAGTATCTTATACCCCCCACACCCCTGGTTCTACATTCTTTCCTAAGAGATTTAGTCCTCGGCACTTACACCATAATGTTTGGGCAGGGTCTTCATAACTGCACGTTTCGAGAGAGAACGCAGCACCGGGGGGTTTGGAACACCCCCCAGTATACGAATACCTTATGGAGGGTGTAGGGTGATGAACATTCGATCTCGGGTATCTACACCTCCCTGGCCCCTCGGTTCCACATTATTCTCAAAGCAGTCTAAGAGGTTTACAACCCTTAGCGCTTACACCTGGGGTCTGGGGGTATGTCTGGTGGGCATGAAATACCCTCCAGTATACGAATATATTATGACAGTTTTAGGGCAATGAAGATCGATTCGACTCTTTTCCTACACTCCAGGCCTCTCCGTTCTACATTATTCCCTAAGAAGAGTCTTTAGGGCCGAACGGACCAATGAAGATTGATTCGGTCTTTTCTTGGGAGGGGGGGGGGGGTTCCATATCTCCCAGAAACCCCGATTCGACATTCTCGTTCAGAGGATTAGAGTCCTTAGCACTTATACCAGAATATTTATAAAGGGTCTTTATAGCTGCACGTTTCGAGGGAAAACGCAGCACAGGAATACCTCCCACTATTCGAATATCTTTTGAAGGTTGTTGGGCAACGAAGATTTTGGACCTTACGGTTTTACATTCTTTCCCTAAGGGGTTGAGTCCTTAGTACTTACACCATAATGTTTGGAATGAGCCTTTGTAGGTGCAGGTTTTGGGGGAAAATAAACATTTTCTGTGTGTTTAACTCTGTAACAGTCTTTAAAAGCCAAGTGCTTTAAAGGCCCTCAAACAGAGCCTTCCAGAAGCTTTTATACTTCTTGAGATTCTTTCCTTTGAGAACAGATCATTGGTAACTTTGAGAACGTTCATCAATCTTAAAGAATCAGAGAATCTTAAAGAATTTTAAAGAATCTTATAGAATCTTAAAGAATCTTAAAGAATTTTAAAGAATCTTAAAGAATCTTAAAGAATTTTAAAGAATCTTAAGGGATCTTAAGGAATTTTGAGGAGTCTTAAAGAGTTTTAAAGAGTCTTAAGTAGTTTTAAGGAGTCTAATAGCTTTCTAGAAGTCAAAATGTATGAAAAGCTCTTCCAATCGATGGAAGACGATGGATTTTAGAATCAAAAACTTTATCTCAACCCACATCCTCTTCGTCAGCTAGCAATTCCTTTCATTTTTTAGATCAAACCAAACATTGCAAATCATTCGGGTTTGAGATTGACTATCTTTCAAGGGGATTTAAACTTTCCACTGTGTATACGTTCCGTCCTTGTTCAGAGTGCGGAGGAGCACCAGGCACCCAGCAGTGGTAACCAAGAAGCTCATCTCCGTCGTCACGATTGAGGACATAATGAGAAACTCCATCCGGGCAGCTACTCTCCAGTCGGTAGTCCTTACACCGACCCAGATAACTCCTTTTTGGCGAGTCCAAGATAGTCCCCAGAGCGTGGAAAGCGTGATTTCAGGAGAGATGTGTGAGTAGTAAACATATCTGCCTCAGTGTACTCACTTTTTCCCCCGGATCTTTCAAAAGGATCTTACGAAGTGTTTGAACTTCAGGAAGACCCTCTTTGCTAGCACATAAGGTCCTCCATGATCCTCGGTTAGACCTTAAAATATGGTCCTTATACCAGCGCTGAACGATCTTGAGATCTTCCCAGTCCGCAGGCAGTTTAGTTCACAAGAGCCTGCTAGTCTCCCTACTAACTTTTTTCAAGGTCTGAGTTCCACCAAGGTACGGAACACTTCCCAGTATTCGAATATCTTCTGAAGGTTGTTGGGCAATGAAGATTGATTTGGACCCCACGGTTTAACGTTCTTCCCTAAGAGGTTGAGTCTTAGCACTTACACCATAATGTTTGGAAGGAGCCTTTATAGCCGCACGTTTTGGGGGAAAATAGATATTTTATGTGTTTAACTCTGTAACAGCCTTTAAAAACCAAGTGCGTTAAAGACCCTCAAACAGAGCCTTCCAGAAGGTTTTATACTTTTCTTACCCTTGAGAACAGATCCTTGGTAACTTTGAGAACGTTCATCAAGTCAAAGAATCTTGAAGGATTTTAAAGAATCTTAAAGAATCTTAAAGAATTTTAAAGAATCTTAAGGAATCTTGAGGAGTCTTAAGGAGTTTTAAAGAGTCTTAAGGAGTCTAAGGAGCCTTAAGGAGTCTCAAGGAGTCTTAAGGAGTCTAATAGTTTTGTAGAAGTCAAAATGTATGAAAAGTTCTTCCAGTTCCTTTCATTTTTTAGACCAAACCAATCATTGCAAATCATTCGGGATTGAGGTTGACTATCTTTCAAGGGGATTTACTGGACTGGGCTTGAAATCAGTTTAGTACAGTAACTAACAGGTGTTCCTATTAAGTGTCCGGCAATTGGAACATCTGAGACGATTTTTTTTCGAGGCTCAAAAAAAGGCTTCCTTTTTCACCAAAAATCGACTGCACCAAAATTTCTCGGGAAAACATTTTTTCTTATTAATTTGGGTGCGTAGAATCCAAAACAATTCGTACTTTTTCGATTAGACTTCTCAATCAAAAATTATAGACTAGAAACCAATTTCGAAAAAAAATCAAAGGGCTGTAACTTTTTAAATAGTATCTCAACCTTGGAACTGTTTGAAATTATGGATTCTACAGGCCACGTTCTATAAGAAAAATTTTTTCCGGGTCGATCTGAGATAATTTTTTTTCGTGGCTCAAAAAAAGGCAGTGTATCAAAGGTTATAGACTAGAAACCAATTTCGAAAAAAAAAGGCAAACGTATTAATTGTTGTTATTTGTTTATGGAATTTTCTGTTGTACGATAGTTTTTCTTCCTATAAGACACACTAAAATGCTAGTATCTAGTATATTCTAAACGAGCTTACATAATGACAAAACCTCGTAGAAAGTGTGCTTAATAGACCCCAAAAAATTGTCATTTACTCACTAAAGAGGAACGGGCACTTTCATCGCAATCCTAATTTGCAGGAACCAAAATTGGAGACAATAACAAGAGAAACGATTGAAACATTTAGAGGGCAACGAACCGAATGTAAATTCACCACCGAAAAGAAGGACTGCCAAAATCAACTCCCAAACGAATTCGTGTACAAACTGGAACAGATCAAAAATACTAACGGGGTTAAGGTAGGTCATAAGCGTTGGGTTAATTTCTTCTAAACGTGTCTGCTTTAGAAAAGGTCGCCGATAATGGAATTTCAACAGCAGTGCCTCGCCGCGCACAATGAGTACAGGCAAAGGCACGGGGTGGCGCCCCTCAAACTGAACAAGGAAATATGCGCGGTCAGCCAAAACTGGGCGAACACGTTGATTAAGAGGCACTCGTTGGAGCACAGCAGGAACGACAAGTATGGCGAGAACATTTACTGCGTGACGAGTAGCAGCCCGAATTTTGCACCGAAAGGAAGCGACGCCGTCAAGAGTTGGTACGACGAGGTCAAGGTGCACGCCTTTGGAGTGGAACCCAAGTACTTATCATCGGGGCACTTCACCCAGGTGGTCTGGAGGGAAAGCACCGAGATCGGAGTGGCCTTTGCCAAAACCAACGGCCGCTACATAGTGGTCGCGAATTACTTTCCCGCAGGAAACGTGGTCGGTTGCTTCACCAAGAACGTCCCTCCTCTCGGCGGTTTCAAAACCGAAACCACCAACGGTTTGACACCCAAACTGTCGAACCTCACCCTCAAATCTACCCAGTCCAATTTCGAAATCGACTTCCTCAACGCGCACAACGAGTACAGACAGCGCCACGGCGTGCCTCCGCTGAAACTCGACAGAAAGCTGAGCAAGTACAGTACGGAATGGGCCCAAATATTGTCGAACAAAAACAACCTGGAGCACCGCAAGAACTGCTCGTACGGCGAGAACATCTTCTGCATGTACTCGACCGACCCCAACTTCACGCTGACGGGACGCGCGCCCGTCGACCAATGGTACCAGGAGATCAAGGACCATCCGTTCGGTCGCGAGCCGCACAACCTCAAGTCGGGACACTTCACGCAGCTCGTGTGGCGGACGAGCGAGCTGCTCGGCGTCGGCGTCGCGAAAAGCCGCCAGGGCCGCATTTACGTCGTCGCCAATTACAATCCCGCCGGAAATTTCCTCGGCCACTTCGGCGAGAACGTGCCTCCGCTGTTGTCTCCGCGCGATGACGTCGTTAAAAGCCCGGAGCGACGGGTTAGATTAAGTCCGGAAAGTACATTTGATCAATTTTCTCTCGACATGCTGAAGGTCCACAATGAGTACAGAAGAAAGCACGGCGTACCTGAATTAAAGTTAAACAAAGAGGTTAGTATGCATTTCGTTCTCACTGTCTCAATGGATCGACGCTTGCTGTCGGATTTTATTCGGCTTGAAGAACTTATAAGTGATCATCAGATGACCAAATTGAGTTACTAAGGGATTTTGATTTAGTGTAATCTTTTTATGTCTTAATTTGATGATGATCCAATGGATTGGATCAATTTCCTTAGTCGAATGCGGCGTACAAACAGAAAGTTACCTAGACAATCACGTCGTGTCTCACGACTCCAAGGCGCCTTCAGCTTTCGATGCCCAATTAAAAAGTCAGAACCGTACTTAAAATCACTCACCCGCGTAAACCAGTCAAAAATTTCAAAAATCTTGCAAATTTTTAGAAATCCATGAGCCAAATTTGAAAACCGCGCAACCGCAAAAATTTCAACTTCAGACCCTAAATTGGAAGAGGCCACTCACTAAATTACCAAATTAATAAACGCTCGCCCACGCCCATGGGCCGCTGTAAGTACCTATGGGACTGTTCCTAATTGAAAGAGGAAAACAGGCAACTAAACGTTTCGCCGAGGAAACAGCATGGTTTGAAGAACCTCAAAGGAAATCTTGCCAAATTTCGTTTAAAATCTTTCCAATTTGGTATCAGGAGGTTATAATGTGCGAGGAGGTGTTTCAGCTCCTAATACACGAGGGGACAATCAGAAAATTCTTTTAAAATTTTGTCTGGTTACCAGGAGAACATAATAGTCGAGGAGGTCTTTTCCCATCACCCACCAAAATATTTCGAAGCCACATTTCGTTTTAAATCTTTTCCAATTTGGTATCAGGAGGTTATAATGTGTGAGGAGGTGTTTCAGCCCCTAATACACGAGGGGACAATCAGAAAATTCAATTACAATTTTGTCTGGTTACCAGGAGAACATAATAGTCGAGGAGGTCTTTTCCCATCACCCATCAAAATATTTCGAAGCCACATTTCGTTTTAAATCTTTTCCAATTTGGTATCAGGAGGTTATAATGTGTGAGGAGGTGTTTCAGCCCCTAATACACGAGGGGACAATCAGAAAATTCAATTACAATTTTGTCTGGCTACCAGGAGAACGTAATAGTCGAGGAGGTCTTTTCCCATCACCCACAAATATATTTCGAAGCCAAATTTCGTTTTAAATCTTTTCCGATTTGGTATCAGGAGGTTATAATGTGCGAGGAGGTGTTTCAGCTCCTAATACACGAGGGGACAATCAGAAAATTCTTTTAAAATTTTGTCTGGTTACCAGGAGAACATAATAGTCGAGAATGTCTTTTCCCATCACGCACCAAAATATTTCGAAGCCAAATTTCGTTTTAAATCTTTTCCAAGTAGGTATCAGGAGGTTATAATTTGCGAGGAGGTGTTTAAGCCCCTAATACACGAGGGGACAATCAAAAAATTTTTGTAAAATTTTGTCTGGCTACCAGGAGAACATAATAGTCGAGGAGGTCTTTTCCCATCACCCACCAAAATATTTCGAAGCCAAATGTCGTTTTAAATGTTTTCCAATTTGGTATCAGGAGGTTTTAATGTGCGAGGATGTGTTTCAGCCCCTTATACACGAGGGGACAATCAGAAAATTCAATTAAAATTTTGTCTGGCTACCAGGAAGACATAATTGTCGAGGAGGTCTTTTCCCATCACCCACAAAAATATTTCGAAGCCAAATTTCGTTTTAAATCTTTTCTAATTTGATATCAGGAGGTTATAATGTGCGAGGGAGTGTTTCAGCTCCTAATACACGAGGGGACAATCAGAAAATTCAATTAAAGTTTTGTCTGGCTATCAGGAGAACATAATAGTCGAGGAGGTCTTTTCCCATCACCCACAAAAATATTTCGAAGCCAAATTTCGTTTTAAATCTTTTCCAATTTGGTATCAGGAAGTTATAATGTGCGAGGATGTGTTTCAGCTCCTAATACATGAGGGGACAATCAGAAAATTCAATTAAAGTTTTGTCTGGCTACCAGGAGAACATAATAGTCGAGGAGGTCTTTTCCCATCACCCACAAAAATATTTCGAAGCCAAATTTCGTTTTAAATCTTTTCCAATTTGGTATCAGGAAGTTATAATGTGCGAGGAGGTGTTTCAGCTCCTAATACACAAAGTGTAAATCAGAAAATTATTGCAAAATTTTGTCTGGCTACCAGAAGAACATAATAGTCGAGGAGGTTTTTTCCAATCCCCCACAAAAATATTGCGAAGCCAAATTTCGTTTTAAATCTTTTCCAATTTGGTATCAGGAGGTTATAATGTGCGAGGAGGTTTTTCAGCCCCTAATACACGAGGGGACAATCAGAAAATTCAATTACAATTTTGTCATTCTTTAACCCGCGTCAACGCCAGGATCTTCTCCATGCTCTGTTCCAAAGCTATAGAGTGCCCCCCCCCTTTCCTGAATTTTTCTTCCAAGACCTCTTCAATTGTTTTATACAAACGTGGGAGGAAGCGTAACAGGGGCAAACCTGAAATTCGTCGGCCACTGGAAAGTAGATCACGGAACCCAAGGGCATTGTTTTTTAAGGTCATCGGAGGCCAATGTTGTCATATTTACTTTTAAGGTTGCCAAAGGTCAACAACCCCTTTTTGTGCAGTGTCACATTTTCCTCCCAAGGTCATTAAAAGTCAATGACCCCATTTTTGTAAAGTCATCATTTTTATTTTTCAATGTGTCGCGTCTCAGCGGTCGATGAGACCTGGCAATGACCTTGCACAGTAAGACATGTGGAAACTCAGGAAAACTTCTCTGACAATAGAGTCAATAGTTTGTAACAATAGTAGAATACTGCCACTTTGGTGGCCATCTTGGATCTTTTTGTGGAATTAATTTAATTGTAATATTATTTTGATCTGCATTTAATAACAAGTAAACTAATACGCTAATGTTAATGCGTCTGTAGACGATTGAATACTAACCGAAATTAGAAGGTAGTTCTTTACAATGCAATTAGGAAGATGATCCCCTAACGCATTTGAACTCGAATAACTTAATCTTGAGTGGTTCTTTTATTGGTTAAAGTTAAATGAATCCTAGTCCTAGCGTCGTTGGGTTTGTATCTTGGCTAAAGTAAAACTTCAGTGTGTTTAAAAATGCAAAACAACTCGTCCTTGTGGTCTTAAATACTAACCACCAGTGTTCACAGTAATTATAGAAAGTTTCTAAATAATTTTTGCGATAGAGAAAGCGTACCACAAAGTCAAGATATTCGATACAATGCACACTCTAATTTTTCTTTGTTACATCGTCACAATGGCAACCGCGCCGCGCTTATATTGTTGCTACTGCTACTACAGCCTCGTTAAATTTTACTGCACAACGAAGGGATCTACGATTTTCCTTGGCGAATTACCTTTCACGGACACTTTCTCCCGTATTTTACAACCAAAACCGTCGCGAAGAGAACGTTGAGAAAATATTAATTACAGTCTCTTGAATTCTGTATCGACCATGCCACAAATTAAAGCAATTACTTGCACCTTCTATCTCCAACTCTTAAAAGAAGCATACTTATTTTCACACGAAGTGCCTCTAGATACCGAGTGGTCATTAAAGCTGGCGACCTTCAAGGCGGAACACGGGTGCTTCGTAACAAAATACACCCGGAAGTACGCAATTTCAAAAACGTTACGTATCTCTTCGCAACTATTAGATTTACATGTACGAAGATGTGTACACATTCACAAAAATAAGCGTCTCCCTCGGCTATTAAATTCGCGTACGTACATTACACCTTCACACGCACACAAAGTGCCTCCTTCAGTTATTGCGTTTAGCTCTTTATATAAAATTGAAAAAGGAACCAACGCAATTGCTGCGTCTAGCGTGTCTTTGAAATCAATAGAAAACCCGCATCACGTTTCTACGCAACATTCAGCTTCAACACAACACGTGATTTAAATGCGTTAACAAAAATCTAATAGCAATCTTGTTAAGTTGCTTCCATTGGAATCCTCCGCTGTGAAAATTCCACAACGTGACATTTCTTTGAATAACTTAAAAGTACTGCCTTTTTTTGAGGTCGGAAAAAAAATTGTCTGAGATCGACCGGGAAAAAACATTTTCTTATAGAATTTGACCCGTAGAATCCATAATTTCAAACAGTTTGACGATTGGGGTACTAGATCAAAAGTTACAGCCCTTTGAATTTTCTTTCGAAATTGGTTTCTAGTCTATAACTTTTGATAGAGAAATCTGATCGAAAAAGTACGAATTGTTTTGGATTCTACGCACCAAAATTAATAAGAAGAAGTGTTTTCCCGAGAAATTTTGGTGTAGTCGATTTTTGGTAAAAAAGGAAGGTTATACACTGCCTTTTTTTGAGGCCCGAAAAAAAAATGTCTCAGATCGACCCGGAAAAAAAATTTTCTTATAGAATGTGGCCTGTAGAATCCATAATTTCAAACAGTTCCAAGATTGGGCTACTAGTTCAAAAGTTACAGCCCTTTGAATTTTCTTTCGAAATTGGTTTCTAGTCTATAACTTTTGATCTACGCACCAAAATTAATAAGAAAAATTAAAAATTAAAGAAAATAAAAATAAAAATTACTATGCGGAGTATTCGAATACTTCTCAAAGTATTCAAATACCTTGCGAAGTATTCGAATACTAAATATTTGTGAAAGTATTTGAGTTACAAAGTATTTGAATACTTTAAAGGATTTGAATACTAAAAAGTATTTACAAAATCGAATACTGCCTAGCTCTGCTAGTTAACTACACTACATTAACTGGTATAGACCCAATTCCCTCTTTTTGGCATGTATCAAGAGCTGAGGAGGAAAGCGCGTAGTTCACATAGTGTGGCTTGGGTGCGTCGTTACTGTAGCTATGTAGCAGCTGCGTAGTTGCGGATGAAGCGTCGTACGTTATTGGGTGAATTTTAACCCACCTTTCATACCTTGTCGGAAGCCCTCCCATTGTCAAATAATTAAGAATCTCATTTTTAATGATCTTTCAGGTGTGCTCACTGGCAACCGAATGGGCCGAACACTGCTCGAAAAGCGCGAGCATCGCTCACCGTCCAAACAATTCCTACGGGGAGAACATCTTCTACATGTATTCGTCCGACTTTAGTCACGTGCCATTAGCGAAGGACGTTGTCAAGACGTGGTACGACGAGGTCAAGGACCACGTCTTCGGTACCGAATCGACCAAATTCAGCACGCTCCATTTTACGCAAGTCGTTTGGAGGAGCACCGCCGAGCTCGGCGTCGGTATGGCGAAGAACTCCAAGGGACAGACCTACGTCGTCGCGAACTACAGCCCGCGCGGCAACATCCTGTCGCAGTTTACCGCCAACGTCCCGAAGGCGAAATTTTGACAATCAACCAAGAAACGTCCAACACTTCGTACCTAAACTTTTACACATTCCAAAGATAGTTGTTGTTAACTGAGTGATATTTGCATTACCTGAACGTAGATTATTGTAACGGTGCTCCATTTTGCACAAATTCCTTTTTGGGTATTGCGAGTGACTGTTAACCAAAGTACTTCTATATTTTAGGTAAGTTTTCGATTGTTATATGTTACATGATGGTAAGACTGATCGTAAATATAAAGTTATCTGACGTGGGTTTTTTTTTTATTCAAAAATGGTATTTACAAATGTGAATTAAACAAGGTAAAAGTTAAATATCTTCGGCTTCTGGCTCGTGCATGAGTTTGTCGTAAACGTATTGGTCGCCGGGTACTGAGACGTACTTGGGCCTTCTGTTGTATCGGCTTCTTGTCTCTCGGCAGACCCTTACCTTCCAGCAGACGTACGACGTTAAAATTCCGATGGCTAGTATCAGGAGGGTGGCGAGTGTTATTGCAACTGAAAATCTCCAACATCAGACTGGTCACAAACTCGGACACCTACCTATCGTTCCCGTGTATCCCAGGTTTTTGAGGTATTCTGTTGGAAAAGCGAAGTCAGTGGAAGATATAATGAAAACGATCCGGGGACTTACCCACAATATCGTCGTAAGACTGGGGGAAGCTCGCGTGGGACTCTAAAATGCAATTGCAGCATGTCTTTAATCTTAAGAATACCTACTTACCGCTTTCATCATCGGTTTGGTTCTGAGCAGAGCTCGTTTCATCTGTAAATACGCATTGAAACGCGTGTGCTCATCTCCCATACTTACTTTCAAGTGATGCGTTAATAACGTGGACTAGTGGCTGCAATAACTCGGTAACATCTGAAATCGAGACAGGGGTAGTAAATTGAGGGGGTTTTGATATGGAGTAAGTACCTACCATCATCGTTTGAAGTGGGTCGGCTGCTAGTGGATGGGTTTGCTGGAAGAACATAGTTATAGAGTATAATAAATATTTCAGACACCGAAGAGGTACATCAAAGCAGTTGTAATCAATTAACACCATTTGAAATTTTTACACACAAAGCAGGTCTGTGTTCATCACTAAAAATTCAGTGACCGTGTAATTGTAGTATTGTTATTATTTTATGGCGATTAACCGGATTTGGTGTGGTTCTCGAGGCAATTTTGGAATCACATTTTTACACACATCTTGTATTGTGGAGGATTTAGTTGACGAATTAATTTTTTATTGCCCGTCGTAAGCTCCCTTCGACGGCTCAAAACGATTTTTTCCCTCGAAACCAGCTAAACACGTTCTACCGCGGTTCTACCCGTTATCAACTGGTCTTCCCTACACTTCAGCAAAATTGGGAGAATTTTTCTAAGCTGACCAGCTTCTTTATAAGCTACTGGATGTGATTCAGCTGTAGCTTACCCTACAGCCTCAGGTTATGGGGCCGTGTTGGCGCTACCGTTACCGCTAAGAGTCCCCAAAGCCTTTAGAGTTAAAGTTAAAGTTCGAAAACTTGGAAAGAGCCTTTTAGAGCACTAAGCTGTAATTGATTCATTGATTCCATTGATTTTCGACACTGATGACAGCAATATCGGGCTTGGAGGCATAGTAATGGAGGTCAGGATAAAATTGTGACTACTTCTGCAAGGGCGACACCTGAGACATCTGCTCGTGATTGTGAAGACGTTGCAACATTGTCAAAAATCGGACAGAAATCCCTGATAAAGATCGACCATGCTCTGATGAAGTGAATTTTACAGTTCAAAAGCTCGGAAGGGCAAACCTACAACCTCTCCTACAACTGACATTAAGACCTTCGTGAGCTGGGGGGTATTCCATACCCCCCAGAGCCCCCGATGATATGTTCCCATTCAAAACGTTCAGCCCTAGAGATTCATTTTAAAATTGATGGCTTTATTGCTAAGGGCACAAAACATTTTGAGGAGGAATGTAGAATCGGAGGGGTATGGACCCCCTAGGAAAAATAAAGTCCATTTTCATTTACCTACAAACTCTCCTACATCTGATATTAAAACCTTCGTAAGCTGGGGGGTATTCCCTACCCCCCAAACCCCCCGGTGATATGTTCCCATTCAAAACGTTCAGCCCTAGAGATTCATTTTAAAATTGATGACTTGAGTGCTAAGGGCACAACACATTTTAAAGAGGAATGTAGAATCGGAGGGGTATGGACCCCCTAGGAAAAATAAAGTCCATTTTCATTTACCTACAAACTCTCCTACATCTGATATTAAAACCTTCGTAAGCTGGGGGGTATTCCCTACCCCCCAAACCCCCCGGTGATATGTTCCCATTCAAAACGTTCAGCCCTAGAGATTCATTTTAAAATTGATGACTTGAGTGCTAAGGGCACAACACATTTTAAAGAGGAATGTAGAATCGGAGGGGTATGGACCCCCTAGGAAAAATAAAGTCCATTTTCATTTACATACAACCTCTCCTACATCTGATATTAAGACCTTCGTGAGCTGGGGGGTATTCCATACCCCCCAGACCCCCCGGTGATATGTTCCCATTCAAAACGTTCAGCCCTAGAGATTCATTCTAAAAGTGATGGCTTGATTGCTAAGGGCACAAAACATTTTGAGGAGGAATGTAGAGCGGGTGGGTATGGAACACCCCCTAGGAGAAAGAAAGTCCTTTTTCATTTACCTACAACCTCTCCTACAACTGACATTAAGACCTTCGTCAAAGAAAAAATTAATTCGTTTTGAGCCGTCAAAGAGATCACATTACGGGTAACGAAAAATTAATTCGATGTGGGTCGTCAAAGAAAGCGAATTGATTAAATGCACTACCGCCTGAAAAATTCGAATGGCTGTAGGTAATCCCATTTAAAGAGCCCTGAAAATCATTAACACTGAAGTTTTGCCGATTGAACAAAAATGTTTAATTAAAAAAAAATAAGTTTACAAGATAATAAACCCGTGCGCGAAAATTTATTTGCCGCCATGGAATAAACAACAGTCAGAAAGGATTAAGTGATATCACGAAAGCAGACTTTTTGTAAGAAGTTTAATTAACCGTTTCAGGAAGGGATTGTTCTGAAAATTCAGTAAAAATAAACTCATTCGGTAAAACCGGTGTGGTCGATTGCGTGTCCAAAACTATTGAAAAGCTATAAAGGTACGAGTGAACTTTTCCCGCGCATAAATCAAAGTTACAGTGACGGCTCGGTCAATAAAAAATTCCAATTCGAAACCGAAACTTTTAAAAGAGACAAAGGACTTGTTTAACCTTTTATTTTAATTTAGTGTTAATAAAAACTTAATTGTGAAAGCGAAAAGCTAGTTGACAGCAGACGATATAAATAGAAAGTTCATTGTCCGATTATTTCTATACCAAAAAGTAGTCGTAGAAAATATCTATCTATTGATCCATGTAGTGTCCAAGAGTTTTCAACACCATTACATCTACAGTTTGATGGTTGAAGGGTGTAAAAGTTCAACAAAGACCTAGAATAACATCCTCGGATTGTTGATGATAGCCATCAAGATGACTGAGACGAACACATCCCATTATTCTTACTAGCCTACCGGGATGCAGTCCGACAAGCCAAACACCCGCAAGGGTTTTGTTTAGAAGCGATTCTCATTTGCCTGCCGACTTGATGTTAAGGAATCAAACGAAAAATACGTTCATCCGTCAGAGCAAGATAAAAATCAGTCAGAATTGATAAGGTCTCAGTTCTCAATTAGGTATACGTTATCATGAGCTTTGCGGTTTCGTTATTTTTCAAAAACCGGGTGTTAACTTCCACGAAAAGAAAACGAGTAGGTGATATCCTGTGGCAAAAGGGAGGCTAGAAACACTTCGAAGCGGGTCTAATAATCAAAAGAGCAAGTGCCGTCTCTAAGATAGAAAGCGCTACTTACCAACAATAGATGGCGCTTGTGTAGTTAAACCTGCCTTAATTTCTTCTGCAAATAAAACCGCGGCAATTACAAAGTCCCACTCCAACCTTAGTCTTACCCGTCGCATTTTGACAAGTCCCACCCCCATCCGACGACGAGGACTGTGCGAACGTACCTGTAAAGTGCCATTTTACCATGGTACAGGAGGAAATTGAATTTACCTTGCGCTAAACACGCGAACAAGAAGAGCACCTTAAACATATCACAGCGAAACGGGTTCCAAACAAATACAGCGTAGGTAGGTAGGTATTTACGAGTGATGTTGTGTTAATTAATGAGTTTATCCGACTTCCTTTCATGTGGTGAGCTATTGTTGTTATGTTAAAATGTAGGGAGATTAGAAAACCGCCGAAATTATCGGGTAGACTTCCTTTCCATAGTTAAAAGGCGAGGGTTTTCCATGCGTTTGCAAGGACTCCGTTGCAAAATTTGATCAATTTCTAAGATTACCATGATGCTTTTGGCTGTGGCCCAGGGCGATTGCTGAGATGATTCCGGAGCGATCAGTACATATTGACACCCTCGCACTTGCTACTATCTACTATTACTATTATACTATGCGTGCGATCTCGCTGTCAAGTCACCTTTGGAATTTTTGTTTACGTGGGAGATTGAACTTCCAAAGGCGACTCGAGGTGAATCTATTTTTGATCACCCAGTATAATGCTGTCACGTTCGAAAATTCGCGTCCTTGTTATATCAAAGAACTAAAATACGGGAAAAGTGCTTGAAACCGTATGCAAAGCTCTGAAAATACTTATAAATGCCAGGTTCGACAAAGGCTCAGAAAAGCTTCTGGCGATTTCCAGCTCGCTTTTTTTAATATTTACAAAGCAGGTATAAACCCTTCTGGGTTTTCTCCTTCTACGCACTTTGCTGATGTAGTTGAGCTTAAAAAACCTTAAAAAGGACCTACACAGAACTTGAAATAACGTAAAAGCTCTTGAAAAGGTCTACAGAGTTCTGACAGTATCTATAAACACTTTCAAAGGCTATAAAAAATTCAACAAGGTTGCACAAACGCTTTCTATTGCGCCAGAATGGCCTTGAAAAGCATTTGAAAGACTTTGTGTATGTCTCTGTCGTTTTTGAGAGTCATTTAGTGACATCCAGAGCAACTAAAGGCTCTTCAGGAAGGCCTAGCTCCCTCTTTTACGGTTTAATTGAGTTTTTAAGTCTTCTCCAGATCCTTAAACGCAATTTGCTAATGTAGGTACTTTGTTGAACTAGATGAGCAACCATAAACCTTCAGCGCAGCCCCTGTTGGTTCTTTTAGAGTGCTATAGAGCTTTTAAACATCTTTTGTCTGCTCCATATCCTGCTATAAGCAAATGATAGTGTAGTTTAATCTTACAAAGCTTCATAAGGGACCTACAATAAAGAATTTGAAGTAGTGTAAAACTCTAGAGATAGCACTAGGGCCCCTCTACCGCATCTGCAAGTCCTTACAAAGTACCTGCAGGCCTAGAAATTTCTTGAAAGTTTCTAGGAAGCCCTACAAGGGTACAGGAAGGCTTTCGAAGCCTTGGATTGCAGGGTTTCAAGGAGTACAGCATTTACAGACACAAGAAGTGGCAAAAGTGAGAAAAACTAGGCTACTTTGGGAGGCACAGAGGACAATGTACCAAAAAATACAGTAAGGACAATAGTTTTGCTTCCAAAATTAATATGAAATAAACTTGGAGATTACTACTGATGTCACTAAGCACTACAGAGCAGTTATGCAACAAGAACAACAGATATGCATATTTTGCGGTATATTTTTAGCTCTAACAGTAAAACATAGTCAGTGAGATTTAGCCTCAAAAATAATCATTATGATCAACGCGAATTTTAACATAACCTCTCTTTCTGTGTTTTTTTGCACGTTGCGTTTTAGGTTGTTCAGCCTCTACGTTTCACCCGTAAAAAATGGCAAAAAGTCTTCGTAGCAAGTGGAGGAGAAAATGCAGAGCCGTGAAACGTGTGCGTTACGGAAAGGTCGAGCTGGAACGCTTGAAGAAGACGTTACAAAACGACCCGCTTTACAAAGATCCGAACGACGTCGACATGAAACCCTCCACGTCGGAAAGTCAACAGTCATCCGCCGGCTTAGCCGATATGGTCACCCTCGTCGATAAGGAGAACATCGTCCGGGGCGCACAGAAGAAGGCCGGCGAAGATTCTATGGAGACAAACGAGCGCAAGTTTAATCGTAAGACTATGCGCGATCAGTTCGGAAATTACCCAGTCTGGATGAACCAGCGACGAATAAGGGAGAAGAAAAAGCTACTGAGGACAAATGAGAAGAAACGTAAGAATAAGAAGAAGTCGAAATGATTGCTTGTATTCTTCGTTTAATAACTAGTTTGTAATAAATGTATTTTTTGTATTTGTTTTGTGGAAACCAGCTGCCATTGACATTTATGTTGCCTGTAGTATTCTCTATTTTCTAATATATCCTCCCATACCAAGGTTGCCTCAATCCCTCCACTTGTTCCAATCACACAACCAATGAAAACCAATTCCAGGCCTGGTCTCCACAGCTCTAGCCCCAGAACTGCCTCCATATGACGAAAGTTGGCTCCAGTAACTCCCAGACTGGCAAGTCTGTACCCTACCATTTTATATGTACCTATTACCATTGCTTATTCATTAATAAACAATGGTACATCACTATGTCCTTACCCAGCTCCTTCCTGTAGGCTGCCTTCTGTTTGACAGGCCACCATACGTACCTACACAAGTGCGTCCTACAGCATTATTGGTCAATATATGCACCTTCTAGGTCAGGTGGGATTGGGACTCCTCGAAGAGTGAACCCATAAAGGTGTGCTCTCCTTGTATTCGTATATGAATGTCTTTTCTGGACGTGCAACAAATGTTAAGAGCAGCGGTTCCAGGCCCGCCGCAGAAGAGCCGGGCATATCCCGTTCCGTCGTGCACTATTACATAGGCTGAATGTATTGACCTGAGTTCCGCCAAGGTGTTCTCTTCGTTCCTCGAAAAGTCCGCAGTTTGCAGCCGTCCTCATATGACGCTGTTATGGCGTGGCTTAACTTATTCTATTCGCAGAGGAGCCCGACCGGGCAGCACTTAGGCACACCAGAGGCCCATTGTGCCTACCCCCATTCTTCGCAACTGAGTTCAGAGCCCGTTCCTCTCAATGAAGGATAGGACTCTGTTTAGCCTAAGTTGCTTCACCCTCCTCGGTTCCAGGTATCTGTCTCCAAGGAGTTGATATCTGTCTCTGATCAAAGCGTCACAGTGACAGACCACATGCTCGGTAGTTTCATCTGCCTCGCCACAGAACCTGCACGTTGACTCCGCGAGCCCAATGTTCTGCAGGTGATAGTTGACCATCCAGTGTCCCGTAAGGACACCGGTGATCTTCCTAATCTGGCTTCTATTCAGTTTTAGAAGCTTAGAAGATCCCGATTTGCCAAGGGGCCCGGTTAGAAAGGCCTTGGACTGTCGGAGTCCGGTTACTTGTTGCCACTGAGCCTGGAATTGACTGGTCAACCAGTCTTTAATCCTGGCCCTAACAGCGGAGGGAGCAATTCCTAGGGTAGACTCGGGCCCGACGAAGACCCCACCGCTGCCTTCGCGAGCCAACTCGTCCGCCCTTCCGTTGCCCCCTATTCCGCAGTGCGCTGGCACCCAAATTAAGGTTACCTACCCTATTAGACTCGCCTAATCTATCCAGAGTTCGCCTGCAATCAAGAGCCGTAGCCGATCGGAACCTGTCTACCGACAGGGCCCTCAACGCCACCTGACTATCGCTGCATATGCTTATTACAGTAACCTCTAGGGAGGTTTTCCTGTGCACAGGTCATAATGGCTAACATCTCTGCCTTAAACACGGTGCTATATGCTGACCAAGGGAGAAGCTGACGCTGGCTCTCGGTCGATCAGCATATATACCCATGCTCGTTCTCCTTTCTGTTAGGGACCTGTCTGTAAACCACACGATCCCCTCAGGTTTGAGGAACGGGCAATCCGAGTTCAGCCACTGCTCCCTGCCCGGGAGAATGACTTTATAACGCTTTGGTCTAACCAAGATAGCTCGGATCACATCCCTTCTTGCGAGGAGGGGATCGGTTCTGAGGGCTTCCTCCCAGATCCGGCCGTGCCCAAGGCTGCCTCGATTCTTCCATTCGTTCCAATCGTTTAGTCGTATGGAAGCTTTCCGAGCCTCTGCCTCCACAGCTAAGTGTAAAGGCTCTAGTCCCAGAAGTGCCTCCATGGCCAAGGTTGGCGTGGTTTTTAGGGCTCCATTGACTCCCAGACAGGCGAGTCGCTGGACCTTTCCTAGCTGCTTCCTGTAGGTTACCCTGCGCATGGCAGGCCACGATACAAGTGCACCATACAGTATTATTGGCCTTATCACTGCAGTGTAAAGCCGGTATACCAGTCGAGGGTTCAAGCCCCATGTACAAACAAAAGCCCTTCTACATGCCCATAGACATCCAGTGGCCTTTTTGCTTATGCGCTCAATGTGCCCTTTCCAGGTCAGGCGGGAGTCAATGATAACATCCCAGGTATTTCACCGACCTGGTCAGACCCAGTTGACGTCCTCGAAGAGCGAGCACAGCAAGATCCGCTCTCCTTCTATTCGTGAATGAAACAACCTCGGTCTTTTCCGGGTTGACGGAAAGGCCATTGCTACTGCACCACGTATCCACCTGTTCAAGAGCACCCTGCATGAGCTCTTTCACGGTGTTTCAAAACTTCCCAGTTATGACGATCGCGAGATCGTCCGCGTATCCCTGTGTATACGCTCCCCCCTCGTTCAAGGTGCGGAGGAGCCCATCTAGTACCAGGCACCACAGCCGTGGAGACAACACCCCACCTTGCGGACATCCTCTAGTAACCGATGAGCTCATCTCCGTCATCTCAATTGAGGATATAATGACTCTGCTTTCGAGCATGGCTCGAATCCATCTTACGATCGACCCATCAATACCAAAGCTCTCAGCAGCCTCACTAATCGAATCGAACGTGGTGTTGTTAAACGCACCCTCGATATCTAAAAAAACGCTCCCAGAGCTATCTCCCCGGAAGACATTCCCTTTTCCAGCCTGCACACCAGGCTGTGTAGAGTCGTCTCCGTGGACATACCAGCCCTGTAAGCATGTTGGAACGGATGTAGTGGTCTACTAACCAATACGCCATTCCTTATGTATGCATTCACCAGCTTCTCCGCCGTTTTTAGAAGAAACGATGACAGGCTGAAGGGCCTATCTATAGTCCTTCGCCACGTCATATTTAGCACGACCCGGCTTAGGTAGGTACACAACTCCTTACCTTCCTCCAGCTTTCGGGGATATACCCTAAAGCCAGGGAGGCTCTGAAGAGATGCAACAAGTGTAAGAGCAGCGGCTCCAGGCCCTTCTGTAGAAGAGCCGGGAATATCCCATCCGGTCCTGCACTCTTAAATGGGCTGAACGTGCTGACCGCCCATCTCAGAGATCCCTCGGTAACCACCCGGAAAGCTACCTTCCAGTCGATCGGCCTTACACCGACCCAAGTAGTCCCCAGAGCCTGGAAAGTGTGTTTCCAGGAGACATGTGAGAGCCTCACCCGCGGTAGACGTATATCTGCCGCATGGAAGCCTCAGTGTCCCCACTTTTTGCCCCGGGTCCTTCAAAAGGATCTTACGAAGTTTTTGAACTACAGGAAGATCTTCCATGTTACCACAGAAAGTCCTCCAAGATTCTCGTTTCGACCTCCGAATATGGTCCTTATACCTGCGCCGAGAGATCTTAAGATCTTCCCAGTCCGCAGGTAACTTACTTCACATGGCCCTATTAAAGAGCCTGCGAACCTCCTTACGAGCCTTTTCAAGGTCTGAGTTCCACCAAGGTGTTCTCTTCTTTCTTCGAAAGGCACGCAGTTTACAGCTGTCCTCATAGGACGCTGTTATGGCGTCGCTTACTAATGCGGCCGCCTCTTCCACCTGCCCTGCTTTCCGACAGAGCAAAGGTGGTCTATCCAACCGGTCCGACAGTTTTGCCACATAGCAGTCCCAGTCAGTGGATCGGGGATTCCGAAACCTACAGGGCCCGCAGTGCAATGCCAGGTTCAGTTGGAAAAGAATGTGCCTGTGGTCCGAAAGCGACGGCTCATCAGACACTCTCCAATTCGTGATCATGTGAGCTATTGAAAAGGAGCCCAGCGTCAGATCAATGACCTCCTGCCTCCGCGCTGTGACGAAGGTAGGGGCTGCTCCCTGATTTAAAACATTCAAATCAGTTGTTTGCAAGTACTTCAGAAGGTGGTGTTCGTGTCCGTGCTGCCCCACACAACATGGTGCGCGTTTGCATCACAGCCAACCACTACTTCGACAGTACTCTATCAACTCAGCCAGCTCCTTGGTTGGTGGAGCCCCTTCTGAGTCGTACGGGAGATAGGCGGAGCAGACCACCAAGTGCCTGCCCCGTCCTCTGTCATCTTTCAGCTGAAGTCGTAGAGCTACGAGCTCCCTGAAACAAAAATCAGCCATTAGATAAGACTTGATTCGTCTATCGACATAAATGCAAGTCCTCGGGTTCAGTTGGCTGTCCCTCTTATAATAAAGAGAGTCCTCCACCTGGCCCAGACCTCTTACTCGTCCCTTGTAAACCCAAGGTTCTTGTATGAGGCATACGCCTGTCTGCTTTACAGCAAGTTGACGACCTATTAGACAGGTCGCCCCCTTACTTGCTGCAAATTTGCTCTGTAAGAAAGTTACTTTGTCCATCACTGATGTACTAGGTTCCCTCCTCCGTTAGCGATGCCGACGGTTCCGACCCCTGGTCGGAGCCAAAAACCGCCACACGAGCCAAAAGCTCGCTGACATCTTTCTCGATCTCTTCAAGCGCCGGGAGCAATCCCGCCGCCTCTTCGAGATCAACACTGCGAGGTTGAGTCCTTCCCCCGTCGCAACGGAACTAGGTCCCGCTGCTTCGGTGGAGCTCTCTCCCTTACCTCGCGCAGCCGGAGCACCCCGCGTGCGCCTGAAAGTTCTGTCGCTGGAGTGCCTGATAGGACGTCTCATCGACACCAAATGCGAGGAGAATCCTACCAGGCTCCTCCCTGCAAAAGAACGTCCTCCATAGACTCGTCCTGAAACCAGGATTTTGCCTCTGGAGGCGCTTCAAAATGGTGTCCGTGCCATCCGGGAGCCCGTACAACACAGCCATCACCTCGGTTACCCTCGGGACGTACCTCTGAACTTTCAGCAAAGCGCCATCTCATGGCCTAATAAGAGGGACGGTCCTCTGCAACCAGTTCAGATATGGAGCATAGCAGAAAGAAAATTCAAAAACAACTATAGAATCAAGAAAATGATGTGCGACTACCTGATCAGGAGCACAGTGATGTACGGGGCAGAAATATGGGGGTGGAAGGAGATAGAGGACATCGAGCGGATACAAAACAAATACCTAAGATAGATCCTAGGATTGGCCCCAACTTACATACTTCTGGAGGAAACCAAACAAGATAAGATGAGGATAGAAGCGGGATATAGAGCAGTTAAATACGAACAGGAGAAAACGAAGAGAAAAGTACAGACTATGTAAGGAAGAAACAGAGACGATAGAACACGTGATATACAGATGCAGCAAAAGCCAAGACGAGCAAAACGTTAAAGGAAACATTACAGGAAGATGGAAGAGGAATCGACTGGATGAGAAGGACGTTGCAGAGAAGAGAGGAAGCGAAAAGAGAGGAATAAGAGTAAACTATTTCTGATGTTGTTGGATTAGAATGCAATAGAAAGTTTATTTATTTCTACCGAAACTTACTTAGTATCATATATTATGCTATACATACCTAAGGGTCCCCAAAGCCGAAAGGCTAGGGTAAAGGGTTAATAAATAAGTTGAAGAAGACAGCCTGTCGCAATGAGGTTTGAGAAACACGAGAACTACGGGCAGTGAGACGCTAAACCCTTTTTTGGATGCAATGGGACTATTAAGAATAGAAGGTAGATTAACTAATGGAGCCCGCATGTCGAGACAAGAAAAGTAGCAAGCACTAGGGGGAAACAACTTTGAATTTTTGGTGTACACTCCTCTGAATTAATTTGAATTAGCCTGAATTAATTAGAATTAACGTGAATTAATTACAATTAATGTGAATGAATTTGAATTATCGTGAATTAATTTGAATTACTGTTAATTAATTCGTAATTTAACATGAATTAATATAAATTAATTTGAATTTGAATGTTTGGTGTACACAAAAAATGGTACTTGTTCCCCTTAAGACAAATTCGTTTATAAAAAATCATCCATTCGTGAAAAAAATGTCCTTATAAATCCCCAGAAAATTCGCTTCAGAAAATTTGGTTGCGCTTAAAAAATCGCCCTTGGAATGTTTCATCCCTAAAGGCTTCTTCCCGGAAACGTTTCTCACTGGAGATATTCGCTATAGAAAAATTCTCATCCTGAAAGTGTAGCCTCGAAAAAATTACTATTGTATTTGATCTTCGAAGACATGTTCCCGGAAAATTTCTTCTGGGAACATTCCCTATGGAAAAATTCGCTTCCGGAAGTAGGCTTGAAAGTCGCCTTGGGGATATGCGCACCGAAAAATTCTTTCCTGGAATAATTTTATAACAAATTTTTGTCCTGGAAATTTAGCCCCGAAAAAATCGCCCTTGGAATATTTAACATTAAAAACACGTCTCGCCGTGGAAAAATTCGCTATGGAATTCTTGTCCTGAAAATTTAAACACGAAAAAATCGTTCTTGGAAAACTTTTCCCTGGAATGCTTGCGTGAAAAATTTGCCCCCAGAAAAAAGCTCCGTTGGAATATTTGACCCACAAAGACTTACGAAGACAAATTCGCTATGAAAAAATTGCCTTTTTAAGTTGCTTTTGTGCAAGATTCAACCCGTAAATTGATACAGGGAATATTCGCCTCTATGAATTTTCCTCTCGTAATATTTGCGTAAATTTTTTTTTTAAGTTTTATTTTGCCTTTATTTTTTAGTGGGAGGGGTTTCAGCCGAGGCTGCTCTATCATCCCAACCTACTATACATTTTCAAAGCCCATACCCGAACCCGGATTCGAACCAAGGACCCTTAGCACCACAGTTCAGCTTTAACTGAATTGCGCCACACGGGCCGGCCCTCACCCCCAACAATTTTCGGGAGGGTTCTTCCTGGAAATCTTCTTTCCTAAAAAATTCGCCTACCGAATAAAGAAAAGAAAATTCACTATGGAAAAATTCTCTTCCAAAAAATTTACCTACGGAAAATGTAGGCTCCCAAAATTACCCTTGAAAGATTCGTCCAAAAATGGAAATTCCGAGGGAAATTCGTCTACAGAAAATGTTGAAAAAATCATCTTTCGAATATTTGGTCCCCAAAAAATCGTCAAAGAAAAATTTGCGTTGGATGGAAACTCGCCCAAGAAACTTGCGTGGAAAACTTGTCTCCAGAAACGTAAAAAAATCGCCCTTGAAATATTTGACCCACAAAAATTATCCCCTCAAAATTCGTCTTGGGAATATTTGTCGGGGAAAAATTCGCATACGGAAAATTTAGCCTCCAATAAAATAGGCCGCCTTGGGATATTTGGCACTTAAAATCTCGTCTCCGAAAAATTCGCCCTGGAAAAATTCTCGTCTTGAAAATTTAAGATTGATAAAATTGCTCTTGGAAAATTTTTCCCTGGTATACTTGTGTAAAAAATTTGTCCCCAGAAAAAATCCGCCGTTGAAATATTTTACTCCCAAACTCTAGTCGTGGTAAAAATTTGCCTTGGAAAAATTCTACATGGAAACAACTTTGAATGTTTGGTGTACCCCCCTGTGTTAATTTGAACTAATGTGAATTAATTAGAATTAACGTGAATTAATGTCAATTAACGTGAATCAATTTGAATTAACGTAAATTAATTTGAATTTACGTGAATTATTTTGAATTTGAATTTTTGGTGTACACCAAAAATGGTACTTGTTTCCCCCTAGAGCAAGCAGCAACACGCTTGAACTTGCATAAGTCAAAGGGCACGTTGGAACGAAAGGTAACGACAAAGCCATTGAGTTAGCCCGACTTGCCTCCATACAAATATTTTATGGCCCAGGGCCGGCTCTTCCCCTTATAGTTACAACCTCGGTTAGGTACAACTAAATAACAGGTGGAATTTGATTTTAGACTGTCGCCATGCTGTGTAGATGTGACTGTTCGTAATCGTAAAATCATCCTAATTCACGCATTAAACAAAATTCAAACAGTTGTATTAATTTGTGGTTTGCTCGTAACTTTTTTAAAATGCAAGGATACACCAGAAAAGACAGTATTTCGTGAAGTTTTTCAACATTTGAAAGTTCGTGTTACCGTCGAGGAGATTGCAATGTACACGATGCGGCACCGGTAATTCATTGTCACGGAAGAACCAAATTCTATATCAACATTGTAAAGGAGTGGGTGGGGACATGGGAAACAGTTCATTGTAGATTATAACGCCAAGGTCTGTTGTCCTTTTATTGAAAATATTTATTTGAAGCTACTACACAACGTGAACACCTTTTTAATAATTCAATATATACTCATAATATAAAACTATTATACAAAACTATTAAACTACGTACAAAATTAGACTGTCGTGAGCATAACAACCTTAGTATTATCATATATGTACTACACACATCATCCAACTTCAATATAATTCATTATAAATAACCTACGTACAATATTATAATAGTAGGTAAACAATTGTTAGATACTGTTCTAAATCCGTACAATGAAAGCATAACTTGCAGAGGGAACAGTCGACAACTTTTGGCCAGGGCGTCGATAGTTAATATTATCCAAAACCAAAAATAATCTCGCCAATGGATAACTATTAACAAAGACGTGATTTGTACAAAGCAAGCGAGCTGTTATTACGCATCTGCAAGCAAGTTTACACCATCTTGTTGAAAATAGGCCATTTGGAAACATCGCCGCCTGCACCATAGATTCAGCAGGATACTTTACCCAACTGGATACATAATAATGGATTGCATTATGCGAACGGCTAGAACAATTAGACTAACCTAAACGTTGATAAGCAATATAACTTTAAAAAACAGACATCGAGAGAAATATACGAAGACGGCGTAAAGGTAGCCAATTTGCGTTGGCTTGCCGTCTGTTACATGGATAATACATTTTACAAAATTCACCACTTATCGCGCAGGGGGTGCGTGGCCGAACTTCTTAAAGACATAACGTACAAATGCTCGTTGAAAGTGTTATAGATACATCAGAATACAAAAGCGTTAGTATAATGGAACGTCAAATAGTTGCTATTTTAATAAGTGAAATCTTATACTTACACTCTACCTACCATATAAAAATACTATTATAAAGGCTAAACTTGCGCAAAAATTGTGTGATTGTTTTTCGCTCGGCTACATTATGCACCTCCGTCGTGACACCGGCGTTAAAGTGACTATATTGCTTCCGTGGTACATAATCTCTGTCCAATAGCGAGCCGTACGATTGACTGTTTGCCTTCCACAGTCGCGCTTACATTCGTTGCATTTACAACTACATATCTAAGTAGTTACTATATATAAAAAAACATGTAATCAGCTATAATACATTGTTTGCACAAATGCAAACCTGAAAAATTTTGGTGTTATAAGCTCTACATGGAGGCTTAATCGTTAATTCAACAATACTCGATGCCCACTAATTTATTTTCGCTATATGGGATTACAACCTACTTTAATTGACTGCAATTGTAATTACATATTCTTAAATTTACACTATAGGAATGCAACTCTACACATACCTGCACAATTTAGAGGCTCCGTTAACTTAGCACCACCATTTCAAATTTTTGACTAAAGACAGATTGCGCTAGAATCTCTATGGCTAGCGCCAGCTAGCGCCACTTTGAGTGCAGCTAGCGCCATTATAGATTTTACAAAAAAGCCTTTGAGTTTCGGGGGGTGCTATATTAACGCTAGCACCACCATTGCGTCCGATCATTTCCAAAAGCAAGCGCTGTGTTCGTCAGAGCTGGCGCCAGCTAGTGCTACAAATTTTAGAGCTAGCGCCACCCCCCAATAGTGCGGGGGGCATTTTTTCCTAGCACCACCATTTTGTTTTTTCGGGTAAAATTTTGACTTTTTGTGTTCTGCTGACCTAGCGCCAGCTAGCGCCACAAATTTTAGAGCTGCCATCACCCTCCAATAGTGTGGGGGGAGGGGGCACCACCATTTTGTCTTTTCGGGTAAAAATTTGACGTTTTCTGTTCTGTAGACCTAGCGCTCAAGTTAACCTGTGTGTAACCTATAACGAGTTTATAATTTTGCGGTGTCTGTCCGTCTGTCCGTTAGCACGATATCTTGATAACGATAACGAATTGACCGTTTACGATGAAATTCTGTAGATGGATTCTTTATCAAATTTGTAGATCGGAGTTCGTAAATTGGCAATGTAGACCAAAAAATAAAGTAGGCACTTTTGACATCTCTGTGATTATGAACCGAATTGTATGAAATTCAATATGTGTATAGCTTTAGCCATATAAAACGCAATTCCAAAAGTTGAGCCTAATCGATCAACATTCACAGTACTCTTTTCGCATCTCGACCATTTACAAACCGGATTGAAAACTCTCTTATTTATGGAAGCAATTAAATGAAATTTCATTCATATACACTTTAAATAAAAGCAAAACTAACACCAAGTTCAAAATTTGGTTTTGCACATGCTGTAGCCATACCCAGGAGCTCGTTTTCTATATTTATTTACACGTCGATGCGAAAAGGGCACTGTGAATGTTGATAGATTAGGCTCAATTTTTGGAATTGTGTGTTATATAGCTTAAGCTCACGCAGATGTCAAAAGGGCCTTACTTATTTTTTGGGATACATTACCAATTCACGAACTTCGATCTACAAATTTGATAAAGAATCCAACTACAACATTTCATCGTAATCGGTCCATTCGTTATCGAACTATTGTGCTAACGGACAGACACCGCATTTGGGATGGTCAAACTCTTTACCTTTTTTAAACCCCAATGTGCAAATCTGTCCCTCTTAGGGTCGGAAATAATAATCAAATTATTTCAATTTGAAATCCTTTACTTTTTGGATTGATCGTTCTGTTTAAAGTAAAAAGTTCCAATAAACATACTAAAATTTGTATATAAAGTAGCAAGATTGTAACCCTTCATTTCTAAGTAAACTGACGGTGAGGTATGCAGGTACAAACTTACTTAAATCCTCTATGAATGCCCAAAAGTTGTAAATTATTTGTCACATCAAGGGTTTACAGGCGCGTCAATTGTGTGAATGTTGGTAAATCTGTATTGTTAAAAAAACACCTTTAGATAGTAGTCCACGTGACGTACATAGGTATATAATTTATCGAGAGTAAATACACAAGAGCTTGATTTTTAATCGCATAATTTTATTTTTACACGAAAGTTTTGTTGCAACGGAAAAAACTCGAAACCAAAAGTGTGAGAAAATCGCGACAGTTTTAGCTGGAGCGATTTTATTAATATTATGCTTTTGATCGAGAGTTTTCTCCAGGAGACAACAAAATTTGAGTGAATTAAAAATAAAATTATCCTGACCAAGATCGAGTGTATTTTAGGGAGATTAATTAAAGACAGTAAATTTTACAACCACTACATATTTTACGCATTCCTACACGCATTTTTATCGCTGTTAAAAAGCTACGTGGCGTTTAATCAGATAAAAAATCATCTGATTGGTTAGAATTTGAAACAATCACCTAGCTGATTGGTCGTATATTAATGGAGTGTATTAATCATATAAAATACATATGCCTTATTTCCACCATAAAAATTAGTTAGCTACGGAAATTACACATAAGTATATAAGAACTACTTCTTTGTTTTTTAGCAGAATTAACAAATATGCTGATTGATTTAACGACTTTATATAGGTTATGAGTAGGTACGTTTGTTGACATTTTCAAATTTTGCACTGCGCTGTGTTCTAAACGATTTAGCTCGCGATACTGTGGTAGTGAAATTAATACTGTGACTTACAAAAAGAATTGTTTAGTGAGTAGAGCACAAAACAGAAAAATTTCACAAGAAACAGTACCTAATATGGAAATATTAAAATTAAAAATTCATACTATAGTACGGTGCAATTAGTCGACAAAACGGCTTAACCTAAACATCAAAAGTAAAAGTTTCCCATTAACTGCAAATTGTTCTATACAGTCCACATATTGTTTGGTAAAAAGTTACACCAGTTGGTAAATTAGTAGTTTTTGGTGTTTTTCTTAAATATTTAGAAAACTATGGGGTTTGGCGAGAAAAGTACCATATCCAAAATAGTCTACATTAAATTGTGAATAAAAATGGTCTTGTGTATAATCTTGCTCAAGTCAACGATCCCAGAGTTACGGAGGGTGTAAAAGTAGGCATTTTTCGTATTTTTTCGATTTTCTGGACAAATGAAATCATGTTTGAAGTACAGAACACTGAAGATCTGGCTTGTTTTCGTTACCAGTGTTACTTGCAAGCTATTTCAAAGCATCCTATACGTTCAAGTTGGCTTCGCTTCTCCCCACTTCACCAGCTACCAGGTAGAACATTCATTTAGAACTTACCATCAGGTGCAGCAGTGGCTGCATGAGAAGAAGAACCCGATGAAGTGGGAATGCAAGATTGTGGAACACTCGAGAGCAATAACAACACATCCTACAACTCCCCAGGAATTACTATCCCTCATAGTGGAAGTCTCTTGAAAAAATTGCCCCCCTTGAGAAGGTGGTAAGGTTATCGTTCCTTCAAGGACTTATCAGTAACATACCACCGGTCACTAAAGCGCAATTTGTTTTAACCGGTTTTAACAAAAAAAATAGTTTCCTTAGTGATAATCTCATATTTTTTCCAAAAGAATCTAAAAAAAAAAGATGAAAAATTTCTACTGTTACACCCTCCGTAACTCTGGAATGGTTCAATTTAGCAAGATTATATATGAGGCCATTTTTGTTCGCAATTTACTGTAGATTATTTATTTTATTTCGCGCTAAATAGTATAGTTTTTTTAAATATTTAAGAAAAACTTACTACTAATTTTCCAACGTTTACTTTTATTCCAAGCGGTTATGTTTCAAATTTCATTTGAATGCCTCCATAAATAAGAAAGTTAACACTGCGCATGCGCAAAACCAAATTTTGAAACTAGTGTTATATTTGCTTTTATTCCAAGTGGTTATGTGTCAAATTTCATTTAAATCCTTCATAAAAAAAAAACTTTGCAATTCGGTTTATAAATCGTCGAAATGCGAAAAGAGCATTGTGAATGTTGATCGATTAGGCTCAATTTTTGGAATTGCGTTTTATATGGCTAAAGCTATACGCATATTGAATTTCATGCAATTCGGTTCATAACTCACGGAGATGTCGAAAGGGCCTTCCTTATTTTTTGGGTTACATTGCCAGTTCACGAACTCCGATCTACAAATTTGATAAAGAATCCACCTACAAAATTTTATCGTAATCGCTCCATTCGTTATCGAGATATCGTGCTAACGGATGGACAGACGGACAGACACCGCAAAATTATAAACTCGCTAGGAGCTCGTTAATAAATGATAATTTTCTTCCATGGGGATCGTGGTCCCCATTACACTGACTGGCCACGTTACCTGCACGTATGGCAATACTTAAATTTGTCGTAAGTAAGTGGTAGCTCTGGGTTCCCCAGTAATATTGGTAATGCGTTTTCCCAGGTATTCCACAAAATTTTCGAGCTTCTCTACACCAAGGTCCCAATGTCTCTACTGCGAAACGTATAAAAATATGGTTCTGTTCTATAATAATTGAAGTGTATTTCCTTATTTTAATACTTGCCGCAGATTCAGCTACCACACCACTCGTTTTACTAGAAAATTAATCCAAAATATTTCAGTGGTGCCAAGTCATAAAGCTAGGAAAAACTGTCCCAGACTACTTGGGTGTGGCGCCTACTCTTAAGATTTTGACTCTATCTGGAGATATCGGCAAAACACAAAACAGCAAAATTGTACACGAAAAAACAAACCGGTGGTATTATAAAAAAAAAAGGACCCCCACAATGTTGGGGATTGGGCGCCAGCTCTGCGCTACGTTTAAAGAACACAGCGCAGCGCTTGCTTTTGGTCGTCATCGAGCACAATGGTGGTGTTAGAGGCTAATAAACCACCCCCAAAAGTGGCTTTTTGCAAAATTTATAATTGCGCTAGGTTAACTTGAGCGCTAGGTCTACAGAACAGAAAACATCAAATTTTTACCCGAAAAGACAAAATGGTGGTGCCCCCTCCCCCCACACTATTGGAGGCTGATGACAGCTCTAAAATTTGTGGCGCTAGCTGGCGCTAGGTCAGCAGAACACAAAACGTCAAAATTTTACCCGAAAAAACAAAATGGTGGTGCTAGGAAAAATTGCCCCCTGCACTATTGGGGGGTGGCGCTAGCTCTAAAATTTGTGCCGCTAGCTGGCGCTAGCTGAACTCAAAGTGGCGCTAGCCATAGAGATTCTAGCGCAATCTGTCTTTAGTCAAAAATGTGAAATGGTGGTGCTAAGTTAGCGGAGCCCAATTTTAGATGGATCTGGTATAGTTTTGAAAGTCGTGGAAGATCAACGAAAGGACCCCGAACGCTACATCTCGTCTACTGGAATGTCGCAGGGAATACAAGCACGCGCTAAGCATTTCTTCAGTTATAATACTGATACTCAGCAATTATCACAAGATCGCACTAAAAGCGTCCCACTTACTACTGTCCATTCGAGTCTCTCTTCGACTTTCCGGTCAACTGCTCCCTCACTTTGTCCAAGATGAATTCGTAGTCGGTCACCGCGACGCCAGTGATCGGTATGCGGAAACGCGGCAAGTATGTACTGATGGAGGAGAGGAGTAGTCAGTCGTCGACGTCCATTCCGATCAGTTCGGCCTGCATGCGTCCCCCCTTGTACCGACAGCAGATCGACATGCAAAATATTCGCAGAGCGAGACGGAATTGTGGACTTAGCGATACCAAGATCAGCGACTTCCAAAACGAATTCAAAAAACCCAACCATACGATACCGAAATGTAAAAATGGCACTTGAAATTTGATACCGGTAAAATACTCGTACAACTTCACACCTAAATACGGAGTCCACGAGAACCAAAATGTCACAACGAGCACAAATGACATAATATGGCTAGGATTCGACAGATTCTCCGACAACGCGGTCACGTATTCTTTGTCGTGCAGCGGGGCGCCGTTCCGCAGCTTTCTCATCGTGTTGAAGATGTATCCGTACGTGTAGACGATCGTTATCAGGCTAGGACCGAGGACCAGGATCGCCAGCGTCGCCGTGTACGCGGCCATCGTACCCCAGTCCAGCATGCAGATGTGACCGTCGTGATCGAAGACGGGCTTCTCCAGACCGAGCAGCGGCGGGCAGCAGAGCATCGCGGCCGAAATCCACGTGAACGCCATCCAGCACTGGCAGCGCGTCTTCGTCTGGATCGTCTCGTACCTCAGCGGTTTTCGTACGGCCAGGTACCGATCGACGCTTATCCACATGAAGGTGTACACGGTCACCGCCCAAAGCGTTACCTCCAGGTAGCCGACGAGGCTGCAGAGGATGTCCCCGTAGACCCATCGTTGTACCAGCGCCGGGTAGACCGAAAGCGGCACGACGAGTAGTCCGCATAGCAGATCGGCGACGGCCAGCGACAGCAGGTAACAGTTGATTACTTCGGCGTGACCTGAAAGTAAAGTCCATAAGAGAATCTTCGAGTTTTCGGCGTAATTTTGGTCGCTGGTTTTGAATACACGTAATATTTAAAAAGTGTATCTCATGTTTTTCTCCGGTCGTAGATAAGAGTTGCGCTTATCGCTAAAGGTTAATTAAGCAGGTGCGCGCGGGTTATAGCACTGCTTCCGGGTTTTCGAATGTAGATGCTAAAGACTTTTGTGATTATAAAGTGTAATAAGAGAAAACTTAGATCGAGCGCTTGCATGCGCGGTACTTGTCCCTTTTTATTGCAGCAATTATCGAATAAATTCGTTTTGTGTTTAAATGAACAGTTTTGTATCACTGAGCACAAATTACGATCCTTTCATCTTAATATTATTGTTGCGAGTGACTTTATTGACCGTTTGTTGCTCACAGCAATATAGAAGGTTTCTAGAAATATCACGGAATGTTCTCGAGAATTTCCTGCGATGTAGGCACATCACATTTTTCGGTAAGAACGCGTCACATCCACTTTCCTTCCTTGTCGACGGTGACTAATCTTTTATGAACTGGATGGCGCTTCAATGGCGACTCGATTTCTATAGTAGCGGCTGGCAAGGGATATCTATGGCCAACAATGGTTCTGCAATGCGCAAGACTATTATCAATCGGGAAGAGTTGGGGCGAGGATGATGAGGAATTTGTTAAAGAAGTTGCCTCCTAAGGGGAAATGTGAAATAGTGTGGAGATCAAGAGATGTAGATGGCAACTAGTTCCAAGAGTGGGCTACTAGTTCAAAAGTTACAGCCCTTTGAATATTTTTTCGAAATTGGTTTCTAGTCTATAACTTTTGATTGAGAAGTCTGATCGAAAAAGTACGAATTGTTTTGGATTCTACGCACCAAAATTAATAAGAAAAAGTGTTTTCCCGAGAAAGTTTGGTGCAGTCGATTTTTGGTAAAAAAGGAAGGTTATACACTGCCTTTTTTTGAGCCCCGAAAAAAAATTGTCTCAGATCGACCCGGAAAAAAATTTTCTTATAGAATGTGGCCTGTAGAATCCATAATTTAAAACAGTTACAAGATAGGGCTACTAGTTCAAAAGTTACAGCCCTTTGAATTTTTTTCGAAATTGGTTTCTAGTCTATAACTTTTGATTCAGAAGTCTGATCGAAAAAGTACGAATTGATTTGGATTCGACGCACCCAAATTAATAAGAAAAAATGTTTTCCCGAGAAATTTTGGTGTAGTCGATTTTTGGTAAAAAAAGGAAGGTTATACACTGCCTTTTTTTGTGAGCCCCGAAAAAAAATTGTCTCAGATCGACCCGGAAACAATTTTTTCTTATAGAATGTGGCCTGTAGAATCCATAATTTCAAACAGTTCCAAGATTGGGCTACTATTTCAAAAGTTACAGCCCTTTGAATTTTCTTTCGAAATTGGTTTCTAGTCTATAACTTTTGATTGAGAGGTCTGATCGAAAAAGTACGAATTGATTTGGATTCTACGCACCCAAATTAATAAGAAAAAGTGTTTTCCCGAGAAATTTTGGTGCAGTCGATTTTTGGTAAAAAAGGAAGGTTATATGGGAGTGGTGGAAATGTAAAGGGGTGGATGTGTTCAAGGAGATGTAAATCATTGGAAAAGAAGCGCGGAAAGGATGTGAAAGAGATACAAAATTTGTCTCAGAAAATGCTAACATTCTCCTGATAGACTTCTCTTTTGAAAACTGTTCGATTGAGACCATATAAAGATAAGGAAGTTTATTAAAATCCATTGGCGCTTAGGCTACTTCCTTCTGCCATAAATTTTGGTGTAAAAACTGTTCTCCTTTGAATCCTGGTGTCAAGACCAGATAAATGCAAGTTATAATTTATTGGCATACACCAACATGACCAAATTTATTGTGTTAGGAGACCAGTTGTTAATGTAGTTGTCTTTTCTTTCGAATGCGTTGGTGACAGTGGCGCAGACAATATAAGTGAACACGTATTTTTTCTCATTTGCTCCTGGTACACGGATAAATTTAAGGAAAAAGCTTTAATAGTAATAACTCAGTATCAGGAGCACATGCACGTTCCAATGGCAGCTGTTAATGAAATTACCTTCTATTTCAAGTGCAATGGTGGCTGGAGTGTCTAAGAGGCAAGTATCACTATCATTGATGTGCTCCTGATACACGAATATATATGTCGAAAGAGTCTTAGTAAGAACATAAAGGGTATGGGTTAGAGCAGCTGCTATAATAAGAAAGTTGCCTTCAATTTCGAATGCGATGGTGACAGGATAGTGATAGGAGGTAGACGATATGAGTAAGAATGTATAGTTTTCCATTGATGGGCATCAAATATACAAACATATTTGTCGAAAAAGTTGTAGTAGGAAATAGGCAGTAAAAATTTGGCATCAGGAGCACATGTACCTCTTCATGAAATTTTGGATAGTGTGGTGAGAGGGTAGGTACACGATATGAGTAGAGAAGTATCGTTTTCTATTGTTGCGCTCCTGATACGTTAACATTTTTGTCGATAAAGTTTTCCTCGATAAGTAAAAGTTTGATGTGCTCCTGATACAGAATTATATTTTCTACATTTGTCGAAACAGTTTGAGTAGAAATAGTTATTTACATAAGTCAGGAAAATGACACATTACTGGCGAGAAAATATTGAAGTTCGAGGGTCCTTTGGGGCCGAGTACTTTAATTCCCGAGTCAATTGTAAAATCTCACAGATAAAAATATATCGTGTGCTTCTGATGGCACAAAAAATGAGTATGGGAGCATAGTGTCAGGAAAAGGCGAAGAAGAGAAGAACCGTTTCTATCCATTGGCGGAAAAAGGCAAAGGAAGAGCAATACGGGAGATTGTATGAGCATAGGAAGTGTATTGACAATACTATTGGGGAACACAGGAAGAGTGGAGAGGGGTGTAAAGCATAAGGGAGACAGAAGAATAAAAGGCGAGCGAAAAGAGTCAAAATCAAACGAAGAAAGGAGATAAAAGCTGAGCCGAAAGGGGAGCATATAAGGGGTTCAGAAATCGCAGAGACTTACGGGCGTAAAGTAGGAGGAGCAAAGTCGCAAAAAAATAAGGGCGCTAGTGTAGCAGTAGAAAAAATACCGAAAAAGAAAAGGAAAGTACAGGATGAAGAGCGAACGACGAGCAGAAGAGGCAAAATAGCGGAAAGCTGTAGATGATCAGACCATATTACATGGATGGGCAAAGAAAAGTAGTGGAGGAGACGGCGTGCGATGGAGGAGGGTTAATGTAAATGGCAGAGGAGCAAAAGGAACGCCCAGAAAAAGCATCAGATGATGAGGATGGCACATTATGAACAGAGCTGGAGCAGAGGATTGGGTATTTAAAAATTAGAAGACCAGTCAAGAATGAAAAAGGGAGGAGTCATAGACATAATATTGGAGCAAAAGAGCAAGGGGAAGAGGAAAGTAGCAAAAAGCAAAAAAGGAGAGGTGCGACATAGGACAAGAAGCGAGGGACATTAAAGGTGACGCAATAAGAGATAAAATAAAGGTCTAAGACGCGTGCAAAAGAAAAGTGGATGTGGGTCATAGGACAAATAAACAAGAATAAAGGAGCAGGGTACAAATAAATCAAAAGAAAAGCAAAAGCTTAAAGAAGAGCATAGAATAAACAGAGAATGGACAGGAAAGCACATGAGTGGAAAACAAAGTAGGAGCAGGGGATAGGATAGTGTTTGAAAGAAGAGACAAGGGAGTAGAAGCACAGACAAGAAGAAGTATACAGAAAAATAACGCAAAACAAAAGAGCAAAAAACAACATAAAAAGAAGGAAGCGCAGTGTATGGTGAGAGGAGCGATTGTGCAGGAGCATAAAGTGTAAAAAAATAACAAAAAACAGAGGGAGCGGAGAACGAGCAGAAGAGGGTAAACGAGAAGTGTAGCAGACGAGTGGCGGGGAGGAAAAGGGAAAGAGCAGAAGAACTGCAGAAAATTGCAAGAGTAATAGATCACATCACAAAAAGAAACGAGCAACCTTAGCAATGAGTAAAAAGGCACCAGATGTTAGAGCATAAAAAATTAAAAAAGTAGAGGACCAGGAAAAGAAAAAACGAAAAAAGCACGAAGTCGAATAGTAGAAGAGGAATAGAAGGAGAGGATCTAACTTTTGATATAACGATCCATGTTCCTATTCTCAGTTTGCTTTTTGCAATTAATCAACCCATCATTGCCGGCAGGGTGTGTTTCCGATGCTAAAATCAAAGCATCAGGTCTAAAATATGCGAGACGCATCTATCCAATAAACTAAGAAGAAATTATCGGTTGAATAGTTCGAACTAATCCTAAAATAAATTGTCATTTATTTGCAATTTAATGGCAATAGAATGCAATTTCTTATTCGCCATTTGTATTCATTCCTAAACCGATGGCGTTCCCGTAAAGACTCTAGAGGAAATTAAAGTCTATTCTTAGATTACCAACCTGCAAACTTACTGAGTTTCCATTCAATAGAATTAGTTAATTTCAATTTATAAACAGCCGCCCTTCCCATCGGCGCGAAACTAGTGCAGTATATTATAGATTTAGGGCGTTGTCTTGAGGGGATGATATATTGTGGGCTGTAAACAGAAAAAAAATGCCTAAAAAAAATACAAATGCGACTTTCGTTCGCTGGTCGTGAGTAATTAATCTTTGGTCAATGTGCGTCAACACAGTTGAATTGTCTCGTGGAAGGTTGCCAATTAGAAAGGTTGGAAAAATAATTTTTTTTTGATCGCGGACAATCTAAAGTAACGCTTACGAATAGTCAGATTTAGAATGCGACGGATATTTTAGGAATAGTTTTTTTTCTGTGTGTACGATCTCTGAACATTCCTAAAATAGGTGTTCACCCTTGAAAACACGAAAACTCGAATTTACCTGTTTTGTTGAGAAAAATTCTAAAAAAGTTCTCATTACAATGGTCTGCCATCTTTATCCACCTACTCCCCATTAATCTTCTACACCCGTTCTTCCATTTCTCTTTCCTACGTCCACTTATTAACTGATTCTT